ATTATTTAAATAGGTTTATGATTCTTAAGTGTTGTCGCATATATAATGTCTATTCATTCATTAACAAAGTACATAGTTTTAACGATATGTAAATATAACATAGTACGGTATGATTACGTTAAGTAGACAATAATATTGAATGGGATATTAGAAGGATGTATGGGAATCGATAACTGTACAATCCAGGTGATTAATGAGCTTTCGAAAGAATGTGTGTTGCTTTGAATTTGGAGACTGAACGGTATTTATTACTTTGTGATTATAATCAAATATTCAAATTCATTATGGGTCAACTGAATTTATGCATCAAAACACGGTCATTGTTCATGATGATCGTAAAAGAATAATGCGACAACACTTAAGAATCATAAACCTATTTAAGTAATAATTGTAACCATAACAAGAGCACAATCCAAAACTATAATAATTGTTATCAACGTACATCCCGCATAAGATTATTCCCTACGACCTGCATTGTTGTCATGTTATCTTCATTCAATATGAGTTATTGCAGATAGAAACACAATCAGCTGATGGCGATGAAAACGATCGACAATCTTTACATGAAGTTGATGATACAGAAAATGAGGATGGTACCTATGTGGATGATAATAATAACATCGATATTGATGATGTCAATGAGGAATTGAATGAAGAAAATTGTACAAGTGAGAGTTCATTTGGAACAGAAAAGGAAGCAGTTGAAAGAATGGAGGAGTGCGATCACATCGAGACTGAAGAGGATGGCGATAATGATTTTGAGAAGGAATCAGAAGGACTTGGAAATGAAGCAATTGAATGCGACAGTGATGAAAATGAAGATGATGAGCAGTCACCGTCGACAGATAATGAAATAATTCATTCGGATATGGAACGAGAATTTAATGGTGATGAGCAGCAATCACAACAAGGTTCGTATGAAGACATCCTTCTTGAACATTACTTCAAACCTATGCGTTCTTCGTTCGTCATTGTCTCATGTGTTTGTTATTGCCTCGTTGCCAGATTAAGTTCGACTCTTTTAGAGGTACATTTTAAACGAAACCGAATAATTGTTCAGTTAACATAACTTACTTCAACTTAATCGCTCTTGGTCAAAGATACATCACTCTGATCCAATGATTTTCATAGAGTTTTACCTATTTTGGGTAATTTGGAGATGTCAAGGGATAATGGAGGGGGTCGAGAAATTAGCATTTCGTGAAGTTTTTATGTTACGATAGAACGCCATTGTGATGGTGTTTTTT